CAAAGAGAAGAAGAGAAGAAAAGGATGTATGGAAATCATTGTTGCTTAATAAATTCCAGCAGAACTGGCACTAAAAGCTAATTCCAACATCTACATGCCACATGCACTTGAATTGAGATCGTCAGAGTCAGCTAAAATCATTTTCAAGTTTCAATTATTTAGAAATTGCCTCTACAATTGTCTTGTTAGCAGTCTTCTCTGTCATTAACCAGTGTCTGAAAAGGCAGAATCCTCTGACTACCATCTTAACAGCTAGCATTTTACACTAAGCTGCCAGTTTCAAGACTTGAAAAAACAAAATGTTTGTCATCGAACCAGAAAATAGCATCCAATCTATAGCTTGTCAGGAGATAAACTATCTGAAGAAATTCATTGTTCAAGGAATTCCACAAAAGAAATCCACTTCAAAACCAAAATAAGAGTAAAAATCAGAAAGAAAGGCCAGCATAAGTAACCTATGCTTTATAAAATCTCCAATTTACAAGCTAGCATTAGCACAAGCAGCAAATGGAACACCATAAGTGTAAACAAGATGATCGAAAAGAAACAAACTTTAAGCCAAATACATCCTCAAAAACATAAATTTACAAAAGAAACAAATGGGCACTTCAAATTTGTATCATAAACAAAAAAAGGAAGTTATAAATAAAGAACCTCAAGCTGCTTTTCGTTGTTGGATTCTGCTTCTTCTTGGAAAGGAGGAGGAGGAGAAGCCTTTGCCTTATCCTCAGCTCTAGCAAGAACTGCATCTCCAACCAGTCTTGGGACTCTAATTCGACAAAAAGGGGAACCAAAACTTGGCAAATAGCGCAATGAAGGGAGAGGTTTAGGAGACGAAGAGAGGTGAGGGCGGTGTTTGAGTCGATGAAGTGGTGAAAATTGGGTACCAAAGGAAAAGGCAGCCATTTGAGCAATGATTTAATGAAGAACTGGAGTGCCGGGAGGGAAGAGACGGTGATGAAAAATGAGAGAGTCGTTATGGGGCAGTGTTGTTGAATGAATAATGTTGCTGTGAGTGGTCCTTTTTTTGCCACAGCCACAGGCTCGGAGTGGAAGTAGCGGAAATGGTAGTGTAGAACTAGTAAAACCAATATCTAGGACGAGGAGGAATCTTCCATAAAAAATATAAATTTCTTGGAGGTATCAAATTTTGTTGGAATCAGTACAAGTTTTTTTTTTCTTTGTTTTTCAAAAATCTGTTCCCTACGAAAAATGCGGTTAGAGCTTGAATTTTTACTCTTAGCTGCATTAAAGCATTCCATCTAAAGAAAAAATTTCTTTCTTCTACTTTTTAATTTTT